ATATGTTCTATGGCGTTCAAAACGTCATTGGAATCCCGATTCTAAGCCGTAAAGTATGGTGCACTAAACTATCAAGTAGTCATCAGGACGTGTCTGTCAGGTGTTCACAACATCCATAGACGACGTTGTAGGGGTTTGCAGATCGAGCGGTGCATCAAAGACGTAAGCCTTCTGTGTAGCAGTGAGGACACTCCTCAGACTACGGACCCAGTCCGCATCATTGCTTACAATATCTTTCAACTTAATCTTTCTCTAGGAACGTATTGAAACAGGGAGCTACAACGTGAGCTATTCATCTACAACATATTTGCAAAGACAATTTAGACTATGTTCATGATAATTGATTTCATCTAATGAACTCCCACTCAGATAGACATCCCTCTAGTCATCTAAGTGAAACATGATCCGAGTCAACTAGGCCGTGTCCGATCATCACGTGAGACGGACTAGTCAACATCGGTGAACATCTTCATGTTGATCGTATCTTCTGTACGACTCATGCTCGACCTTTCGGTCTTCCGTGTTCCGAGGCCATGTCTGTACATGCTAGGCTCGTCAAGTCAACCTAAGTGTTTTTCTGTGTAAATCTGGCTTACACCCGTTGTATTCGAACGTTAGAATCTATCACACCCGATCATCACGTGGTGCTTCGAAATGACGAACCTTCGCAACGGTGCACAGTTAGGGGGAACACTTTTCTTGAAATTTTAGTGAGGGATCATCTTATTTAAGCTACTGTCGTTCTAAGCAAATAAGATGTAAAACATGATAAACATCACATGCAATCAAATAGTGACATGATATGGCCAATATCATTTTGCTCCTTTTGATCTCCATCTTCGGGGCTCCATGATCATCGTTGTCACCGGCATGACACCATGATCTCCATCATCATGATCTCCATCATCATGATCTCCATCATCGTGTCTTCTTGAAGTTGTCTCGTCATCTCTTACTTCTACTACTATGGCTAACGCTTTAGCAATAAAGTAAAGTAATTACATGACGTTTATGTTGACACGCATGTCATAAATAAATAAAGACAACTCCTATGGCTCCTGCCGGTTGTCATACTCATCGACATGCAAGTCGTGATTCCTATTACAAGAACATGATCAATCTCATACATCACATATATCATTCATCACATCCTTTTGGCCATATCACATCACAAGGCATATGCTGCAAAAACAAGTTAGACGTCCTCTAATTGTTGTTGCGAGTTTTTTACATGGCTGCTATAGGTTTCTAGAAAGAACGTTTCTTACCTACGCGAAAACCACAACGTGATATGCCAATTTCTATTTACCCTTCATAAGGACCATTTTCATCGAATCCGATCCGACTAAAGTGGGAGAGACAGACACCCGCTAGCCACCTTATGCAACTAGTGCATGTTAGTCGGTGGAACCAGTCTCACGTAAGAGTACGTGTAAGGTCGGTCCGGGCCGCTTCACCCCACGATGCCGCCGAATCAAGATAAGACTAGTAACGACAAGTAAATTGACAAAATCAATGCCCACAACTGCTTTGTGTTCTACTCGTGCATAGAAACTACGCATAGACCTAGCTCTGATACCACTGTTGGGGAATGTAGCAGAAATTCAAAATTTTCTACGCATCACCAAGATCAATCTATGGAGTAATCTAGCAACGAGGGGAAGGAGAGTGCATCTACATACCCTTGTAGATCGCTAAGCGGAAGCGTTCAAGTGAACGGGGTTGATCGAGTCGTACTCGTCGTGATCCAAATCACCGATGATCCTAGTGCCGAACGGACGGCACCTCCGCGTTCAACACACGTACAGCCCGGTGACGTCTCCTACGCCTTGATCCAGCAAGGGGAGAAGGAGAGGTTGGGGAAGACTCCATCCAGCAGCAGCACGACGGCGTGGTGGTGGTGGAGGAGCGTGGTACTCCAACAGGGCTTCGCCAAGCACCGCAAGAGACGAGGAGGGAGAGGGGTAGGGCTGCGCCAAGAAGGAGATGTTCTCGTGTCTATGGGAGCCCAAAACCTCAAGTATATATAGGGGGAGGGGAGGGGCTGCGCCCCCACCTAGGTTTCCACCCCTAGGGGTGGCGGCCAGCCCTAGATCCCATCTAGGGGGGCGGCCAAGGGGGGGAGAGAGGGGGGTGCACCACTAGGTGGGCCTTAGGCCCATCTGAGCCTAGGGTTTGCCCCCTTCCACTCTCCCTTGCGCCTTGGGCCTTGGTGGGGGGGCGCACCAGCCCACCTGGGGCTGGTCCCCTCCCACACTTGGCCCATTCAGCCCTCCGGGGCTGGTGGCCCCACTTGGTGGACCACCAGGACCCTCCCGGTGGTCCCGGTACATTACCGATAAACCCGAAACTTTTCCGGCGACCAAAACAGGACTTCCCATATATAAATCTTTACCTCCAGACCATTTCGTAACTCCTCGTGTCGTCCGAGATCTCATCTGGGATTCCGAACAACATTCAGTAACCACGCATATCTATTCCCTATAACCCTGGCGTCATCGAACCTTAAGTGTGTAGACCCTACGGGTTCGGGAGTCATGCAGACATGGCCGAGATAACTCTCCGACCAATAACTAACAGCGGGATCTGGATACCCATGTTGGCTCCCACATGTTCCACGATGATCTCATCGGATGAACCACGATGTCGAGGATTCAATCAATCCCGTATACAATTCCCTTTGTCTAGTGGTACGATACTTGCCCGAGATTCAATCGTCGGTATCCCGATACCTTGTTCAATCTTGTTACCGGCAAGTCTCTTTACTCGTTCCGTAACACATCATCCCGTGATCAACTCCTTGGTCACATTGTGCACATTATGATGATGTCCTACCGAGTGGGCCCAGAGACACCTCTCCGTTTACACGGAGTGACAAATCCCAGTCTCGATTCGTGCCAACCCAACAGACACTTTCGGAGATACCTGTAGTGTACCTTTATAGCCACCCAGTTATGTTGTGACGTTTGGCACACCCAAAGTATTCCTACGGTATCCGGAAGTTGCACAATCTCATGGTCTAAGGAAATGATACTTGACATTAGAAAAGCTTTACCATACGAACTACACGACCTTTGTGCTAGGCTTAGGATTGGGTCTTGTCCATCACATCATTCTCCTAATGATGTAATCCCGTTATCAACGACATCCAATGTCCATGGTGAGGAAACTGTAACCATCTATTGATCAACGAGCCAGTCAACTAGAGGCTTACTAGGGACATGGTGTTGTCTATGTATCCACACATGTATCTGAGTTTCCTATCGATACAATTCTAGCATGGATAATAAACGATTATCATGAACAAGGAAATATAATAATAACCAATTTATTATTGCCTCTAGGGCATATTTCCAACAATTACTACGTTCCCCAACAATTCCTTTTGTCATAGGTATGTTACTTGCCCGAGATTTGATCGTCGGTATCTTCATACCTGGTTCAATCTCGTTACCGGCAAGTCTCTTTACTCGTTCCGTAATGCATCATCCCGCAACTAACTCATTAGTCACATTGCTTGTAAGGCTTATTGTGATGTGCATTACCGGGAGGGCCTAGAGATACCTCTCTGATACTCGGAGTGACAAATCCTAATATCGATCTATGCCAACCCAACAAACACCTTCGAAGATACCTGTAGAGTATCTTTATAATCACCCAGTTACGTTGTGACATTTGATAGCACACAAGGCATTCCTTCGGTATCCGGGAGTTGCATAATCTCATAGTCAAAGGAATATGTATATGACATGAAGAAAGCTATAGCAATAAAACTGAACAATCATTATGCTAAGCTAACGGATGGGTCTTGTCCATCACATCATTCTCCTAATGATGTGATCTCGTTCATCAAATGACAACACATGTATATGGTTAGAAAACTTAACCATCTTTGATTAACGAGCTAGTCTAGTAGAGGCTTACTAGGGACACGGTGTTTTGTTTATGTATCCACGCATGTATCAAGTTTCTGGTTAATACAATTCTAGCATGAATAATAAACATTTATCATGATATAAGGAAATATTTCTACACGCGAGCAAAATGAGCGGACGACGGGACTTGACAGGTGTGTGCCCCCGCACTCGCGTGCCCCTGCGAATTTTTGCATTGTTCCCTACTTGTATGTATTATTAGTGGTAGATATTTCTACAACAGAATACAAGAATGATCGTAGTATTAAGTTTGTGTTGGTCTGGTCCAGAGGTGTAAATTGGCACTTGAATGCAAAACAACAAGCTAGTGAGCGAGACAGAATACAGATCAGAGTCGTTGGCCGCATAGATGCACCCAGCATTACAGCTTATAAATGCAAAAAACCAAGACCACCTAATTTAAAGCGCCACTCCCCCAGTCTAGTAGTGCTGGACTATAGTACTACTAGCCGAGGGCCCGAGGCACATATCACACCAGGAGAGTAGAATGGACAGTGTCGATCGACGGTGCTCTCTCTCGCTCCCGGCGACGACGAAAACGACGTGTCTCGATGCAAGCTGCATGGTATCCTATCACGAGTCACGACCATGTATGGTTGACCATGACCGTGCGTCTACCCAAGTACTAACGGTACTGTCCGGCCGACAAAATGGACAATGTCACCCACCGGTTGTTACGACAACCTCACATCACAGTACGTATATACCATCGAAATTGGGGTGCAAGTTCCCAGAGAATTTACCAGCCAGCCTAGGAGGACGCCGGATCGTCCAAGTACTTTCCCCTTTCAGCATGCATCCAGCGACAGCCGACGACGAGCAAACCAAATCGACCACGTACAGCGGCACAAGGTGAACAGTGTTACCCCTGCGTGCTGGATCATGTGGCCACGTCCGTGCATTGCCGGCATTATCACAACGATCTACTCCACTTGATTGAGCAGGTCCATCCATCCAACGGGTTGCGTTTTATTTTATTAAGGGCCAGATCGGTGGTTAGAGTGGCTCATTGGCGATCGATCGAGGTCGCTCACACTATCACGCAGCTAGAGCTAGTGCTCGGCCATGGCCGAGGCGAGCAAGCGCATCGACCTCGCCGCGCCGCTGCTCTCCGTGCGGCGCCACGGCGGGTTGGGCCTGGGCGGCGCGTTGCGGTACGGCGAACGCTGCGACGATGCCACCCCCCGCCCCGGAGGCGTGCCGTTCGGGTGGGAGCGCCGGCCCGGCCACCCCAAGGGCGTAGGCACGCCACCGCTGCCCGGGCCGGACCAGGAGGCCGCGGTGCGCTTCTCGGACGCGCTCTCCCGCCCCGACAGCTGCTACACCGTGAGCTGCAGCGACGCGGCCGGCGCGACGGCGTCGGCGGCCCCGAGCCCGAGCCCCCGCGGCAGCGTCATGATGGACCGCTTCTTGCTGGCGGCCAAGGAGCAGTGCGTCTTCCGGAAGGCCGCCACCGCTGCTGCCAACACGCGCACCCCCACCAGCGACAGGTTGCCGGGGCGCCTCCCTGTCCAGCACCTGCCGGCGAGCCACGTCCACGTGCAGCGTAACCATGTAAAGGACGCGGACGGCAACGGGGAGGACGACGAGTGGGAGGTGCACAGCACGGCGGGCTTCGCGTCCAAAAGGAAGTGCGGGCTGCTCCCCGCGCGGTGCGCCAAGAGCGCCCTGCTGCTCCTGAACCCGGCGCGGTCCACGATGAGGCGCCGCCGAGGCGCGCGGCGCTTCCTGTCCGGCTGCGGCAGCAGCCGGCGCGAGACGAACCCGCTCCTGCCGCGGGTGGGGCAGCACCCTGATCTCGACGCTGGCACGGTCACGGTGAGCAGCAGCTTGCTTCACGTTCTCATGGAGTATCACTAGCCAAGCCATGCATGCACGTCTTGATCTTGACTCTGGGTGTGCTCTGCAGGGAAGCAGCTGGGAGGAGGTGTACATCAGCTCGCTGCGGCGATCGGACCGAGGCGCCGTGCATCCCAAGGCCACCCATCTCGGCCTGCTCCTGGTCCTCGACGGGGCCGACGGCGGTGCGGCCTCGCCGCTGCCGCCTCCCAATCCCAAGTGCGTCAGGCCGCCGACGGCGAAGGCGAACGTCGGCGGGAAGACACCCCGCAGGCTCAACGCCGTCGGCCAGGGCTTCCCGCCGCCGCTACCTCCCTCGCAGGAGAGGACCGTGGCTCGCCGTGACGACAAGATGGTGCTCGCATTGCCGTCGCCCAAGACGCCGTCGGAGTCGTGGCTCTCGCGTACGCTGCCGACCGTGTCGTCGAACAGGCTGACGGCCACTTCGTTCATGGGGCTCCACGTGCAGCAGCTCAGGAATCAGCGCGCTCCGTCTCGCTGGTGCTCCAGCGATCAGGCCAAGGTTATCGATCATGGCGCCAGGCCACGGCAGATACGAATATATGATCCGTGCTAGTGTAGTTGCATCCATTTGGTTATGATCTGGTCATGCGTTGCTCCGCAGCTCAATCTCTAGTAAAAGTAATAAGCTCATCCTGCTGCTCAGTTGCGTCCATTTTGTTCCATGGCGGTGAATTGCGGGTGTTCTCCATTGGCGCCATCGTTTGCAGCTCCAGAAGTGCGCCTAGTTCAGTGTATAGGTCTGCAGATGTAATACTGCATTTCTCAGTCGATACTTGTTTTACCTCGGCTTAGGTACATCAAGTCACAATGACCACAAAAGGGTTACATTGCCCGTAAAGCGGCATTGGAGGAAGGTAATCATAATGACATGTACAAGGGTTACATGGTCATTATGATTTATCAATGCAGATTTGCAGCCCGAAACCATGTCTAGATTCTTTCTATCTATCTACCTTGAGGAGTAAAACGGCACTGGAGGAAGGCGCACCACACTCGCCCAAAGAAATGGAGTGCCATTTACAAACAGCATTCACCACCACAGAGTCAAATCCACATCCATCTTCAGAGGAGAAAGGAGACAGCAGAGATTGCGAGTACATAGTACATACTACTCCCTCCGTCCGCGAATAAGTGTACATCTACCTTTTGTCCTAAGGCAAAGTTTTTAAAATTTAACCAACTTTATAGAAAAGAGTAGTGACATATATGACATCAAATTGGTATATTATGAAAGTACATTTCAAAACGGATCCAGTGATACTAATTTAGTGTCATAAATGCTGCTACTTTTCCTTATAAAGTTGGTCAAAATTCTAAAACTTTGACTTAGGATAAAAGGTAGAAGTACACTTATTCGCGGACGGAGGGAGTACGATGTATCACTCCTTTCTCCCGAATTAACAGAGCATAAGAGTTCAGGATGATCATCAACCACCCTGCTCACAAGTACACAACACACGATGACATCAACTGTCACACGATAAAATCATGACGCAGATCTCCTAGCACTTTCTTCAATACATGACGTAATCAAAGGACATGATGAATTTGTTACTCCCCGATCCAAATTAACTGACGCAGCATTACTACAACTTTAGTATCAAACTGGGAGATGGGATGTTCATTAATTCACTTGCATCACATCGAAACGGTAATAAGATTGTTTGGAACAACACGTCAGCAATGAAGACGAGGCTAACATGAAGGAGCATGGTGCCTGATTCCAATGCTTGATGATCACATCATTCTGCTAGTGACCTCAACTAAAACTTGATAAAAAAAAGGGGGTCTACTTTGTAATCCAGTAGTCATGAATAATCCACCAACCAGGTAACAAAACCGAAGTTACAGAATGTTTAGACCTCACCTCAGCTTTCGAACACCTGAATCACTTCATGGGTATAGATCATCAGAGTCATAAGAGATGGTATATTCGGTGTGTGCCCGTGTCTGAATATTCGAGCAGCCAGTAGAAACTTCCCTTTATCCATTAGGGTTGTCAAAAGACTTATGCGATGGTTGTGAGGTTTCTTGTGGGTCCGATGATCATGGCCGCCGCCTCTCTGGTTTTTGGGATTCGCGGGGTTCTTCTGCACATTCCCATTGTTCAAGTACGTACACCCCAATTTGGAGACTTCTTTGCACATCGCTGTTGTTCTACACATAGCAAGTATAATCAACTGAAGAAAATCAGATCAAGAGTTGAGTAACGTGATGAATTCGCATTGCATGCTGCTCTTCCGCAAGGGGTCGTACCATTCGTCTTTGCCAAAGAGTACAATGTCTATCCTAACATTCTCAGCACAACGTATGATCTCTTAACATACCTCTAGCTTTCTTGGTGTACCACTATTACCAATATTAGCCAAGAAAAGCTTTCAAAAACCATATCAAGCAATTGCGGGCAGTGCTCCATTGCAGGATCCCCCCCCCCCTATTTCACCTACTTTATTCAACAAGAATGTGTAATGATTGAACTGCTGGACAAGGTTGTACAGGATCCGAGTCAATAAGTAGTGTATTACAAATGCAGAAGGCCTTCTGTTCAAATTCCAGATTGAATAGTTCTTCAAGTATTACATGACATCCGTTGTTGCCACCGCTCTTTTGGTAGTACTATCTAAACTAAGTGTGACACTTTTAAGCGAGGCTTTGCCTTTCAATATGATCTGTGTAAATGCATAGGGTATTCAAATGAACAAAATCTTATGTTCAGAATTCAGACTGAACTGTTCTTTGTCGCATGATCCCAGCGTTCATGAGTTCAAAAAAAGCATGACCACACTTCAGTGACGTTTAGTGGTAGCTTGATGCGGAGCATCCCATGATCATCCCCATGGACCTACCATCGTCGCATCAAGAGCCAAGAGGACCCATGACACGAGCACGAGCCAGAGCTCTCGAGAACGAGGTGACTTCTTTCCTTAGTGATATCACATATGATCCACTCGAGACATGGTTACTACCTAAGTCCGATATGCTATGCATGATCAGGTGTTAAGAGGAGCCTCCCGAAGATGCACGTGAAGACGGACAAGCCGCCAAGTCCACGGATGAAGAGAACCAACAGAAACGGGCAAGTTCACCTTTCAGGCCACGGACATCCGGCCAAGGCCCCGGACATCCGGCCCCTGGAGATGCCACCACAGCAGCCGCAGCCCAGCCAGAAAAGACTACAGGGCCCGGACATCCGGCCCCGCGCCCCGGACATCCGGCCTTCCCCAAAGCCCTGGAAATTCGGCCCTCTGCCCGGAAATCCGGCCTCGTCTATCCAGAGCCCGCAGAAGTCTTCACCGCCAGCCCGGACATCCGGCTCCCCAGCCCGGACATCCGGCCACTCCTGAAGCCCCGGACATCCGGCCCGACGCCCGGACATCCGGCCTCGCCTGTCTGTGAACAGTGAAGGGCCGAAGCCCATGTACCCTCTCGCCCCCCTAGACTATATATACTTCATCCCCTTCCTCTTTCTAGGGGTAGCGTTTGTTTAGCTCATATGTGAGATAGAGCTTCGCTCATCCATATAGATCTCCTCGAGAGAGAGACTGCGGCCCCTCTTCGGAGAAGATCGACTTGGATTCAAGACCCCCCTCTTGGGCGGCCCCATCAAGACCTCCTTCTAGGAGAAGAACCGGTTACTTTGTATTGTCCTTTGTTGACCTTGGATCATCGTGTACCTCTTTGTGTTATTTGGATCCAGCGCATGTGTAATCGAATCTTGTTGGTTTGAGTGATTCTCTCGTGTTTCCCCTCGTGTATCCCCTCGTGGTCCTCGTGTTTCTCTTTGGGATCCGCTCCTTTCGTGAAAGATCGGCCATCTAGGGTTCCACCCTACATCATCTTGGTATCATGAGCCACGTTGATCATGATTTCGGAGCCCCCTCTTTTTGTTTTCTAGCTTGATTTTGTTGTTTTTCGTCCTAATCCGAAAATTGCCCCACAAAAATAGCCCTAAAATTTTTTGTGATTTGTTGGTGTGATGAAGTTTTGTTGTATTTGATCTGAGGATTTCGTGTGTTGCAGGTAGATCTAGCATTCCCCCACCTTTTCCCCAAATTCCATCCACAAAATCCCCCGAATTTTGCCCCGGATTTGACCTGTCCACGCGGTTTTCTTTGAATTGGTCCACGGATCCAGCGCCCGGACATCCGCCCGACCAGCCCGGACATCTGGCACCCCGGACATCCGGCCATCACCCCCGGACATCCGGCCCCTGGCAGCAAAACAACCCATCCACCATACGTTTCCTACCTAACTCTCGCCAAATTTCGTCCCGGTGCCCACATCCACTTCCGCATACCCCCACCACTCCCGCATAGCACCACCCTAGCCTTTCCCGCTACTAACTCCGACAATTTTGCCAAATTTTGCTTTGAGAATTTGAGTTGCGGTACCGTATCCTTTTGTGTTTCAGCTATCTCGGTACGGTTCGACATCGACATCACCGCTGCTCATTTTCGCCACGGACGCGTCATCAACAACGACCACCTCGACTACGACTTGGTTTTCGTGCCACCATTTTTAACACCATACCGGAAGCAAGACCGGTAACCTCATCTTGGTATTGGACATATCATTCTTGCCATTACATTGATAGCCATCATAGCCTTACTTTTGCGTCACTTACCCATCGAGACTAGCCCTTGAGTATTGCCGGCAACGTGACTTGTGCACATTAGTGTTCATACTTCCCATAGCATACATACCATCATCGTGTTGCATCTCTTGGTATCATCACTTGTGTCACAAAGTTGTTGTCGCATACATAATTGCTCTCTTGCTTCGTGAAGCATTGCATGAGAAAAGAGCTCAAACATCAAAGAGCCAAACAAGCTTTTAAGCAAAAGAGGAAAGACAAGCAAAGAGCAAGAACCATAGCATCATACAACATTAAGATTGTCATACTCGATAATCTTGGATCAATGCATAGGAACATCATACATATAGCATACTTGAGATAGAAGTCGTTGCATTTTTGCTTAGTAGGTTGTGCACAAGTTCGTATCTGCCTGTTGTGCAATCGTGCTAGCGTCTCTCTAGTGTTGTGCAACAAGAGCATCTTGGTGAATTCCATATTTTGGCTCATCCTTGGTTGCATAACCCCATCTTATCTATTTGCGTGTGTGTTTCCGTGTACCATATCTTGCTTTTGGTCTACTTGTTGCATTTGCAAATTCATGAATCTTTTCCAACATTATTGAGTCTCACTTATAATTGCATCAAATTGTGTGCCACCATCCTAACCGAGCTCCACCATAAGCTTTTACTTGTGTAGGTGTGAGAACCGACAAGAATTGGTACCAATTGTGCTATTTCCTTGTTACACATTGGAATCATCTTTGATCCATTGTCAACATTGGTCAAGGTACATTTGATATTGGTTCTTCCCTTTATTCCACTCACACTTGTCTTGGAATGATGGATAGGCCAAGTACTTCTACCAACCCGCTCTTCATGGAGCAAGACGACGACATGAACTCCTTCGTCACCAAGAGTCACCTCTTTGGTGTACAACGTGCTTTGCATCAAGAGCAACAAGCTATGAGTGAACGCATC